ATTATAATCCGGGCTGCAACCTGGAACCCGTCTAGAAGGTAATTGCATCCCATTGCCTTTTGGATTCGGGCTTCTTGGAGCTTGGTAAGCTGCCGACCCACCACCAGAACTGGATGAGTCACAACCAGACCCGACCACTGATCCTCTCTTTGTTGATAGACTCCACTGGGGAATCTGAGACCCACGTTGCTTGACAGAACCATGTGATCGGACCTTGGCTTTTGCAGATTTGGTTGGAGCCATGTAGCTGGGAACATTGATCAGTTGTGGTTGTTGGCGACTTGGGAACGTGTCTGAGTCCATGTTTTGACGGCTGAAGAGGTCCATGTTTGTATTGCCATTGCCCAAGCCTTGTGGGGTGATCATGTCCATCTCAACAGTCTTCTCGGACATGTCGTCAGTGGTGGAAGTAGTGGTGGCAAGTGTCATGTAAGAGCCGCCTTGTGGGCTCATGTGACGGGCATGGTATGGCTGTGTTGACATCCAACGCTCGAGCCAGTTCCAGCCCCATTGAGCCTTTTCATGCTCGTTGTAGAATGTCATCTCTTTGCCATCTGGGCTTGGCTGCATTACTTGCTGATGTTGTGGAGGTTGCTGTTGTTGCTGCTGCATTGCAATTGTAAAGGTAATGCTTATATACGTATGGGAATCAACAGCTTATACCAGTAAAAGATTTAAGAAAAAACCGATCTTACTGTATTGATTATAATACAATCTCTTGCCAGTTCATTTAGCTCTTTGTTTCCAATCAAAAGCAAAATTTAAAAGCTAAGGGGTTAAAAGTGCTTAATTAGTATAATCAAATGCAAAGGAAAAAAGCTTGACCAACCTGGTAGCTGTAAGCATAAGCAAGAGCCCTCTCTCTTTTCATGACAGCATCACGTTTCCTTGAAGCATTTTCCTGGATTTTGTCTGAGCTTTGATGCCTACCATCCCAACCTTCATATTTCATCAACGGAGAACCACCCTTCGGTTTCTGCAATCCTTCTTCCCTTATTCCTCTTTGTTCTTTCTCTTCCCCTTCCTCGACTTTCTTGATGATTTTCTCATGAGCCAACTGAAGCCTACGTGCTCTTACTCTAGCCTGCACGCGGACTAGTGCTTGCATGCACCGCATTGTCATTTGTGCTTGCTTTCGCACGTTATGTCCTCTTACCAGTGCTTGGAGCCTCACCAATCCCTTCAAAGCACGCAAAGCTCGCCTAGCCTGAGCACAAACCAATCATACAACACAAATTTCACTAAAGTGGGTAAACTTGCGTTTGGTTTTCTATGATTACAGAGATTAAGAACTACTCAAGGATGCAGAAGAAAAGAGCAAGGTATTATAGTTACTAGATAGCCTCTGTAATATGACTGTATGAGAATTGCAGCAGCTTCCTCCTTTGTCTGCCGCCCATAGCCTGCCAATCGGACAACTTTGGCTGCAGCTTGAGCTGCTGCAACTGCAGCTTCTGCAGCGGCAGCAGTTGCCATGGCAACTGCTATAGCGTGGTTTCTGTCTTCAGTCACGGGGGTCGATGCAAAACTCTCATCATTTGTGATTTCTGGAGAACTCTCGGCAGGAAAATGCTCAAATGACACAACTTCAGGGGCTTCTTGCTGCCATCTCTCTGCATTGTCTTTCTGCAAATCATACGTTGAACTAAGCCTTTAAGTTTTAAACACGTGTAGTGCAGTTTCCGTTAGACTAATCTCTGCATTGTCTCTCTGCATGTTATATATAAAACTAAACCCTTTCTAGCACATGTGATGCATGTTTCATTGAACTAATCTCTGGATTGTCTCTCCGCAAATTATCATACTTTCATTATATTAAACTAATCTCTGCACAGTCAAATATAAAAGTCTCCCTTTCAAAGACATATAATGCATGTTTTATTACACTAATGACGGCTCAAAAATCACCACAAGAAGATAACTGTAGTTTCAGTAAGAGGGAAAAAAGCAACAATTTTTTTCTTTTGACAAGCCAGCAAATTTTGGAAAAAAGAAATTCAAGCTCAAGAGTTGGCTCTCTCTGTTTTGGCATGAAGCGGATCGAACATGTCAAGCACATGACGGTCAACAAGGATGATGTGAAAGCTTAGGTGTAATGATAATAATATCTCAAGAGGTCTCCCCAAGCATTATTATTTCTTAGTCATCTTCATATAGAGAGGGGGACCAGCATCTCCGTTATGCATTCATGGCCCTAATCCTTATACAGGGCTGCAGTGGTAGGTCGTCTTCATTGTTGGTTTCACCATCTAAACTAATCATCCACTGCTTCATAAATGAAACCCATAAGATCGATTTGGGTATTTAATTTATAAATTACTACCCTTTTAAATCCAAAAAGGAAGTGGAGAAATTAGCCTACGGTATGTACATTTGATTTCTTTTGCAATTAATGATGTGA